TGTGCATCCGTTTAAGTCCCACTGCATACAAAAGATGTTCGAAGCCTAACTCACATTGGCTTTGTATGTTTTGCTGTGCAAATAAGACGTTACTAATACAAGATGCTATGAGCCTATTGGCTTTGGCCTGTAAGAAGAACGATTGCGCATGCGCTGATAACACGAGCACTGACAGTGACGAATGTGTCAGTGTAGTACGTGCTGTTACGAGAGGCCTCAAACAACCGACTTTGACTGACGGAAAAGTGAAATCTCCGTTAACATTAACGACGAGGGTAGTACCACCTGTCACTGGAATTGGTAAACATGCACCCCTAGTGGAAACTGAAGATCTGGATAAAACTGTTGCTGCTCCAAATAGTCCTGAGGGGTGAAAAATGGACTACAGTATGCAGAAAACGAATCGAAAAGAAAGAAGCTGTAAGCAGTACGCAGGTGGTTAGCAAGTCACTGGTGGACCCCACTGTGAGTCACTAAATGCACTACCAAAATCTGATGCACTGCCAAAATCTGATAGTAAGAGAGAAGCCCACCCTGGTGTGACTGAGAAGAAGAATCTAATCTCACCGAATATTATTGTGAGCAAACTGCTGGAGTCAAACAACCCTGATCCCAAAGTTAGACACGCGCATGATTTAGAGTAGCTGGGAGAATATATTCGTAGTATCTTATCAAGTAAAAAACTGGTTAGAATAGACAAGAGGACTGAGGAAAATGTTAAACCCCGACCATGTGGACTCCTTAACGTAACCCTAGGATCGGAGAAGCAACGGGATCTCCTGTTAAGTAGCGCTCGTTGTCACGACAACTACGATATACGGGTTAGACCTTATATGTCTCTGGAAGAGAGAATAAAAAGGAAGGAAGTATTAGCTGAACCAGAAACCCGTCGGCAAAACGATGAAGAAAATCTCCAGCTAGTGTATTTTCGGATACTCAGGTCTTGGAAGCGAATGCTACCAAGGACTGTGTGGATAGGCCGTTCTACTTGGGAGTTTTTTATGTCAATGCTCGTAGTCTAAGAAATAGGTTCTGTGAACTAAAAGCATTAGTGGGCAGATTAAGGCCACTCATTGTAGCAGTGACAGAAACTTGGTTAGTCCAAGACTTATACATTACTCCAGAATTATTCAGATAACATTATTTAAGGAGTGATAGACATGGATGTAGAAAATAAGGTGGCGTCCTGTTATATATAGCCAATAATATAAACATCCGCTTCTCTGCTAGAGAATCCCATGATAGCGGTACTTGTGAAGTCATTAGCTGTAATTTGGCTATCAGATTTAGTACATTTATTTCGGTGTTATCTATCGCAGCCCAATCTGGTTGAAAAAGGTGGAGAGGTGGTCAGTGTATGACATGATGTCGTGGCATGAAAGAAAGATGTGAAGGGCTGGCTTCTGTTGGACCTTCACGACTTCATGGCTGGGGTCCGAGAGATGGTGCAACACAGTGGCTAGAGACGTTACAAGATATGGCTCAGTACAGAAACCAGTGGAGAATTTGTTGTAACCTTGTTTTACTTTCTGTATAAAAGCTGACAAATAACGACACAAAAAATCCGCGACAATATGAAACACGTACGCGAAAACAGTTTCAGTTTGGAAAGGACAGGAGGCCTGATGGCCTGTGTTAGTTCTGGTAATGGTGGTCCCTCAGTTGATCCAAATTTCTTTTGAAAGAGTAGACGGATGGAGTCTCAAATACGTGCTGAGGTAATGAATTGCACTCGTTGGTGATTCGATGAGAAAGTCGATAGTCAGCTGACAAGTAATCTGTACTGGGCTTGCGAACGTTTTTGGAGTGTCCTCATAAATTCTCTGTTTTGCAAAGACTTGAAAAATGAGGGCATGTCAGGTGCAAATTTATTACTAAGTAACTTGAAAACTGTAATGAAGTCGCCCCTAGTTCTTCGTTATGACAACGCGAATAGGTTTGACTTTGCCAGTCGAGCATCATACGGGAGCTTCGCCATCCATGAATCAACCCAGTTGCTGTTCTCTGAACCTTTTCCGAAAGTCCACTGTCATTTGTCAAGCAGAGGCTAACCGCTTGTATGCAGTACTCAAGTTTAGGACGTACGAACTCTGTATACAAAAACGTCTTAGCGTTGACATGACTAAAAGCCCTGCGTATTGACTATAAAGTTCTGAACCCTTTGGCGACTATTGCACGGCAGTGGGCAGTAGTCTTTAAGTCTTTGTTAATGATGGCTCTTGAGTCTTTGTGTATCTGTACAACAGGTAGCTCAGTGTTATTCATCGTGTATGTATGTGTAATAAGTCGATATAACAAGCTAGTTGGAACACTAAAAATTTGTGGATGCGTTCAACAAGTTCGGAAACCGCGTAGGGGGAATAATATACTTGATCTATTGTTTACAATCAACACAGACTCTATCTCAGTGCATAGCAGTCATGAGCTTTTTATGAGTGATCATAGAGTTGTACTGAGTATTATTCACTCTTTAAATGACATACAATTAAACTCCAAAGCTTCATTGATGTACCACAGCAGATATTTTGATCAACAAACCTGAACATGGACTGAAACTCTCATTCAATGTGTACCATGAGCAACTTATTTTACCACAAATAATGCTTAAGTTGCGCTTTCCAATCCATGTCACAAACTAATATATTGCCTTGACTGCACTGTTCCGGTAATTGGCCATGTGAGGTATAATGCCAATAGGGGTGAGAATAATTTTATACATTTTAAAACAAAGCCGAGGAAATTAAAACGCTGCTACTACGAGCACAATGACGTGTATACACTTCAGACTATACCTAACTCAATCGACAGAAATAAAGTAACATCCATGTGATGGCTAACGGTACACCTTCTAAACAGTCATAATCCAAACAAAATATGAGACTTTGAATTGTACGTAGTAAGTGTTCACACACAGCTGAAAATGTACAGAAAATACAAACATATATGAGCGCATAATTTGGTTTGTATTAGTTTAAATTGACAGTACAAATTATTATCGAATCTCAAAATGCAGGCATTACCCAAAGTTGCAGAACAGTACCTAAAATCACTGTAATGAAATTATTTGTTCATTTAAAACTTAAATCTATGAACTTCAGATTTCCGTTCACCCGTAGATTATAATATGCCGGACTCGAATTTACGAAATACTAAGCTTATTAGTTGCATAATGCCATCATACTTTGTCAATCTGGATAGAAAGTTTATTAATGTAATTTAGAATAAAAGACTTCGTGAAGAAATAAAAAATTATGGAATAGGTTTTTTCAGAAAACAAAATGTTTGCAGTGCATTCTTTTTCTTAAAAATCTAAAATGTTGCTTCACGATTTATCTGCTCTATTTTCTTTTCTGACCGTACAATTGAAGTGATTAAGCAAACCTATGGGTTTACTTAAATTGCTAATTTCATTATGGTCAGTGAGCCAGTGGTCAACAAAATGGTTTGATAGATACAAAACTCCCATCAGGACTTTTGCAATTGGCACAACCTTTCGCTTAGTAAGGATATTTATTGGTACATTAAAGGAAAACGTTCATTGCAGTGGGTGTGAAACATTGACTCTGAAGGTTTATAACACTTATAGTTTACTAATATTTGACCATTAATGCTTTTGATGAATTCCTCGCAAGCGGAGGAACAACCAAATGAACAGCACCATGTAAATATGATAAATTAGTCGATGAGGTTGTAATTTCACTTTAATCACGAGGAGTAAGATTGGGATAAAATTAAAGAAATCTAAAATCCAACAACTAATGACGTAACTGCGCTCCATTAAACTCACCAAATTTTAGGATAAATGTTTTGGCAATTACATACTTTTCGGCTGTGATTCACACAAAATGCTTAAGACTGTGCTGAGAGCTCTTGGTGGCATAGCTCAAAATCAAACACAATGTATTAGACCTTGATCTTCTCTTAAATCTTTACTTTAAAGTTTGAAGAAGATGGCTTAAAATACCACAACTTTTATTTTCAGAGAAACGCGTGTTGACCGCTTGACCTAATTTAAGAACCTGATCAGTCCTGATGGTCTGATGTCTGATGAAATCTTTGCACATATTTAGAAGTCTGGATTGGCTCTTGCCAAATCGCATCACTTGTAGCGTCAGCGAGATATCTATATGGCGATCAAATAATGAGTTTACTGCGCAGAAGTTAACTCATTCCTACTTTGTGAATGTGAAACATGGTCATTAAGAATAGATAGTGTTCATGGGTTATAATTATTTGCCCGTAGGTTGCTTCAAAACATTCCTCATGCAAGCAGTGCCTAGATTAAAAATTAGGTAATGGGTATATATGGTAATTTAATTTACGTGGTAGTCAATCTTGAGACATATGTGATGTATACCTAACTACTGCCTACCGCAACAGGTGATATTGTCCGACGTGGGTGTAGGCTGGAAGTAAGCTACAGGCGGGCAAACGAAAACGTGGTTTCAGTCACTGACAAGTGCATTGAGACATGTTGTCAAGTGTAGACTGCTTGGTAGGGGTCTGTGTGATGGTCATAACCAGTGATTAGAGACTCTGTACGAAATAGATCAAAACTGTGCAAAGTGACACAGGTCCGTCCATTCTTTTTTCCCCCTCAGGTTTTAAGCTACCGAATTCCTCGTAATCTTTTTTATTGCACTAATTCATATTTACTTGAATTGTGTCTTTGACACCTAATCTCTCTTTATAAGTATGATACCATTATTCTGGGACTTCCCCAAATAATTCACGTCCCTGTGTTGATGGTGTGTGGAAAGTTGAACGGGTGTACATCCGTGCCAGATTCTACTTTGTGACTGATTGACATCCAAAACAATTTTCTAAGCTTTTTATACCAGTATATCAGTGGATAAATTTCAGTATTTTTATGTTAATACTTTAATCAAGAACAACTTATAAATAACCATTTACAAATAGTAACTTTGACATTGAAATAGATGATAAAAGAGAAAAGACCATCTAGAGAAAAGTGAAATGTTCATCCAAAAACAATCCAACCAACTTCTAAGACAACATTAAATTATGCATACGTTTACGACTAAGAAAATGTCTATATAGTCCCACAAATTTATCAAGAAAATTATGAAGCAGTCAAAATACAAAACTCGACAACTATGTTTATTAAAATATGTATAAAATCATCAATATTTGTTTTTAAATTCCAATTCATAACAGGCGTCAGTTAGAATGTCAGGTTAATTATGAGTCAGAACTATAATAAAAACTACCATGGGGACCATTCCTTCACGATGACGTGAGTTAATTAATATTCTATGAGCTATCTAAGTTTTTCACATTTTCTTCTGAAACTAAGAGACAACACTCAGATCTAAAAACACCAATTCTTATACGGTTTGTTTATCAAGCTTGAAACCTCTTTTGCTGAACACTTATTATTTTATAAATATAGACATTACTGTCGATAAAAAGTGCGACCATTATGTAAGTACTGATCTGGGCTTGTAAGTAATTGCAAAATATATGATGAGTGTCTCCCAAATACCTCCAAATTTCCCTACAACTCAAGCGATTCTTCCCAAGATATAGTCAAACACATTTCTCATATTCAGTGTTGATTCAAATCAGACAACCAATGGTACACCAAACAATGAATATCAAACTAAAATTTCAATAGGACATAGAATATCCCAATCTCGTGATTTGAGGGAAAACGTTAAAAGTCTCGAAGAGATTTTGGGGAAGCTGCAATGGAAAACTTTAAGGAAATGCAACAAAAACTTTGAAATTTCCCCTGATTTGGTTTTTTCACAGAAAAACTTAAAACTTCGAAGAAAGTGACAAAATGATTTATGTAAATTTTGGTTTTCTCCAATATTTGCTCGAAATTCAACCAAAATATGGAAATTACAATAAATCAATCAGTATTGGCCGACGTTACCATAAAAAAACATGAAAGTTATCGAATAAGCAGTTACCACTCTGATTAGTAAGCTTTTGAATTTGCTCTGAAATTGTTAAAAGGCACAAATAAAGTGTTCCGTAGTCAAGTTGAGGTAAATGTTTGGACCTCCACTCCTGATCATTGATCCTATTCATAAAACGCTCAATGGAGAGGACATGTATATCTTTGAGTATACTACAAATTTGTGTTAAATATCATGTAAACATACTTGTATAGGCTGTTTTGAAAAAATTTCAACAAGCTAGTTATATCATTTGAGGATGGCAAATTACTTGCATTGTTCACCAGCTTGAAACAAGCTTCATTCAACGCCTTTAACTTTGTGGTGTCTACAGTGATGAACGTATGACTAAATTCTTTTTTATCTTACATGCATGAGACTTAATATTTGTCATTTATGCGACTACTTATTCAAAAATCCAAGGTAGGGTCTCATTAGAAGTTAATATGAGTAGCGAATTAAAACAACCCGGAACGGGTAGGCAGAAAACACTCATGTTAATAGTTTGACATTTAGACGGACTAAGTATGAGACTATTAACAACAGACTAACAATCAATACGAGACAAAAACTCATTCATTTCTATGAGATGTAAAGTGGTAGAGATAGGCATACAAACAGTAAGATCATCCGCATATTTCAGAAACGTGTTTACTGCGAAGTATGGCAGATCGTGCAGAAGAGAAGAGAAGAGGTGAAATAACAGCTCTTTGTGGTAAACCTCCATGAGACAGTAGAGACTCTGAACACTTTACTCCAAACACAGTGTACTGTACCCTTCTAGAGAGGCAGGGACATAACCAATTGATTAGCCAGCTGTCAGTGTTGACTCTGATTGACCTGTTAAGTAAACGTTGTTATGGTATAGAATCGAAAGCAGAACTATAGTCCAGAAAAGCGCATCGGACATACTTCTTACCCTTTTCTATGTTAAACACTATATTGTGATGCAGGACAGCAGTGGCATCTAAGGTGCTTCTTTTGCATCTGCAAGCAAACTGATACGGATGGATGTTCTATTTTTCTGTAGGTTGGAGCGAGAGTGTCAATAATTTTTCTATTGTTTTGAGGAAAAGTGAAATTATTACTTAGGGTCTAAATTTCACCTTATCACAAGATATTTTCTTATGCATAGGAATTATCTTTATCTTTCTCCACATTTCCGGGAATGAGATTAGATCAGATGGATCCGTTAAAAAACACTCGTGAATGGACAGCATAGGACGTCAGTACACTTTTTAAAAAGGAAGTTTGTGATACCATAAGGTCCTAAACACCGGGATGAATTAAGTGACTGGAGACATCTTCGGACACTAGTTTCAGTGGAACTAGGAACACAACTATTCTTTAAACCTGTGGATATAGGGTGCTTTGCATCAGATGACTGACGTACAAAAGACTTGTTTAAGCCACAAACATTCAGCTGGTTATCGCTGCTAATGTACCTGCCACCTGTAAGTTCTTCAAAATGTTTCAACACACTTGAAGAGTTTTTACAAGACAGGAGTTTTAGAGTAAACATAGAGTTGAGACGTTTAATCTCTAGGTTTATTAGATCATTCATCTTGCGAACTTCAATAGAGATTTTCTGGCAGGGGAAAAACGTCAGACTCCTTCTAAGCTGCCCGCCATTTCGTTTCAACGACCTTGAACGGTCTGACAGGAGGCGGTCATTTCGTATTTCGATTGCCATGGGTTTGTTGGGTTGCATGAGTACTATGTTTTCTTCATATTTAAGTCTTTTTCTGCATTGAAAAGTAGAAAATAACTGCTAAAAGCAATAATTTTGCATTCTCTGTTTTGTGGTGTACACGTTGGCTCTGCTGTTGTTTCGTTAGTTGACCTGTGAACCCAATTGCTGTAGTAAACCTCAACGAAATGTCAAGTCATCAGTAAGTCTTAAATATTTGTAGTACCTCCTTCAGTTGTTATTGTTTTATCGGATAACTTTTTATAATTAATGATTGATGATTGTGGTGCTTCTCGTTCACGTGATGTTTCATTCGAATTAAGCTTTGCTTTCACTGCATTGCGATTACCTAGTGGGACGAGTGGGAGAGCGTCGGTCCACTGAGAAATGTTTGCAGCTGATAGTGAAGCTGTTAGTTTTCGGTGAAAGCGTTCTGCTAACCTGTTTGCTTGTGGGTGGTGGGCGGTCGTTCGGAATCGAGTGATTCCTGATAATGCTGTCAGAAAACGGAAAAGTCCAGATTTGAACTGGCGTCCACGATCTGTAGTGTAGTTGAAGGGCGGCGAAAGTTTGCTGCCCATCGTTCGACGAAGGCGCGGGCCATTGTTCCAGCAGTGATGTCCTTGATTGGTACTGCTTCTGGCCATCGAGTGAAATGGTCTACGCAGGTTAAGAGATAAGAGTATCCATTTGAGTCTGGTAAAGGTCCTATCAAATCCAGATGAAAATGGTCGAAACGGGCATCGGGAGTTTTAAATGATCCTAAGGGACATTTGTTGCGTTTGGTAACCTTGGACTTTTGTCAGCTAACACAGGAGTGTGCCCACTCCCTCACGTCTTTATTCATGCCAGGCCAGCAAAACCGTTCTGCAATAAGCTTGATGGTTGCATGAACACCTGTATAAGAGGGTTTGTGCAACGTTTTGAAGACGTTGCTTCGATAATGTTTCGGCACGACTGGGCGATCACCACCTGTGGATGTGTCACAAAGTATAGTTTTCTTACCTGTTCCCATCCGTTTAATGCACAGTTTAAGGGTTGTTGAGGATAACTCATGCTGAAAATCAATGTCTTCTTTTTGAAGCTAGGTGGGTTTAAGAAGGTCGATTCCTTGAAAACTGTTCAAGGAAGTTATTCGAGACAAGGCATCTGTGACTACATTGTTTGCTCCGGAAATGTGTTGTATATTTGAAGTAGACTGTGAAATGTAGACCAGTTGTCGAGACTCACAGGGTGATTACTTGTCTGACGATGAGCTTAAATAAAAGGTAAGCGGTTTATGATCAGTAAAAGGGGTGAAGTCTCGACCTTCGATAGTGTTGAAAATACCGTACAGCACAATACATAGCTGGAAGTTCCCTACCGAAAGTGCTGTAGCTAGGTTCAGCGTCTAGCATTCGTCTCGAGAAGAAAGCTAAAAGTTGCCAGGAGTAGTTAACCCATCGTTGTAAGGCTCCTCCGATTGCTGAGTCGAATGCGTTTACTGCGATACTAGCGGGCGCTTGAGTGTCCTGATGTGTGAGCATGGTTACCTTTGATATAAGTTCCCTAACTATGGAAAATGCTTTTCGAGTGGGCTCGCCCAGATTGATGGATTTCTCATTTTCACGAAGTTGGTCAGTTAGCGCTTTCATAAGTGACGCGCATTTCGGTACGAACGGTCTATAGAAACTTACAAAGCCGTTAAACGTGCGTAATTGCCTGGTGATGGTGAGTTCTGGGTAATCCAAAATGGCCGCCACTTTGCTTATAAGAGGTTGGATGCCTTGCGCATCAATAGTGTTTCCTAGGAAGTCTAATGAGTCGATTCCGATTTGGCATTTTTTGAATGTTTATAGTAATGCCATGTTTTCGTAGTCGTTCGAAAACAAGGTCTAGATGCTGTGAATGGGATTCTCTGTCCGGACTTGCGATTAGGCAGTCGTCAACATACGCATGTACGAAGTTGAGACCTCGAAAAACGTCGTCTATGAATCTTTGGAATGTTTGAGCAGCATTCCTTAGACCGAAAGGCATTCGCAAAAGTTCATAGAGTCCGAAGGGAGTTATGATAGCTGTTTTCGGTATGTCGTCAGTAGCCATAGGGATTTGGTTATATGCTTTAACCAAGTCGATTTTCGAAAAGACAGTTGTACCTTTCAAGGTAGCTGTCAAATTGTGAATGTGAGGCAACGGGTAATGATCGGGAATGGTTTTTGCAATCGCCGATAGTCGCCAGTTGGACGCCAATCGTTGCTGTCCTTTTTAGGGACCATGTGCAACGGGAATGCATATGGGCTATTTGACGGTCGTATGATTCCTAAGTCTATCATGTGATCGGACTCGTTTTTCGCTAACCTTAGCTTTTCAGGAGCTAGTCGTCCTGCTTTAGAGAATACAGGAGGTCCTGTAGTTGTGATGTGGTGTGTAACGTTCTTGGTTACACACGGCAATTTCGGTTGCGTTTGGTATATCCCAGAATACTTATCGAATAGTGACTGATAGGATGGGTCTATCGTGTGCTTAATTGTGACTAGAGATAATCTGCAACCAGAAAAAGAAGTTGCTCAAACAGATAAATTAGTATTTATGTCTACTATCCTCCGTTTGCGCGTATCGATGATTAGAATATGGTGTTGTAGAAGGTCCATACCTATAATTGGCATAGAAAAACCTGCAACAACGAAGATCCAGTAAAAAAATCCGCAAGATAAATAGCTCTGTAAGCTTTCGGCATTGGATGCTGACCACATGTTTTAATGAACTGACCTAGCTGAAGGCACTCGGTCATGCATCCGCACCAGATCACGAGTGGGAACGCCGTGTTCAACAACCCCTGCAATCGCTAGCCAGATTAGATCAGACGATTCTCGATATATTGATAGCATATCAAGTATATCTTCAAACATCCCCGTTTCTGTCTTTTGATTTCACTTGGTGGGTACGCTTCATATTAGGAATTATCACTGGTTAAAGTGTTGTCAAACTCTGAATACCTGTGGCATCTTCAGCATAAAACAATTGACATAAGAAAAAATCAAGAATTGGAATGAACTAGGTTATCAATAATAAATGTATACATATATGTGCGTGTGCATGGACAGGTTAAAGATTATTTGGTGTTAGAATTAAGGAAACATTAAAAATGGGCAGGGGTTATAGTCTAATGGTGTTCAGACACAGATAAGATGTCACAAGAAGCTGATTGAATCTGAAATACTTGAGCAATTTGCTTTCTGTGTGGATATAATGAGTACGGATAGTCTGAGAAGTGATATAATTATTACTCCATACTTTTCGTAACACTTTTAGTGAAATATCAAAGTCAACCCAGCTTGCGAAACGCTTGTTCAACAACGCATAATTCGACTGAAACATCACGTGAACGAGAAGCACCACAATCATCAATCATTAATTATAAAAAGTTATCCGATAAAACAATAACAACTGAAGGAGGTACTACAAATATTTAAGACTTACTGATGACTTGACATTTCGTTGAGGTTTACTACAGCAATTGGGTTCACAGGTCAACTAACGAAACAACAGCAGAGCCAACGTGTACACCACAAAACAGAGAATGCAAAATTATTGCTTTTAGCAGTTATTTTCTACTTTTCAATGCAGAAAAAGACTTAAATATGAAGAAAACATAGTACTCATGCAACCCAACAAACCCATGGCAATCGAAATACGAAATGACCGCCTCCTGTCAGACCGTTCAAGGTCGTTGAAACGAAATGGCGGGCAGCTTAGAAGGAGTCTGACGTTTTTCCCCTGCCAGAAAATCTCTATTGAAGTTCGCAAGATGAATGATCTAATAAACCTAGAGATTAAACGTCTCAACT